TCCCGATGCCCGCCCACTTCATTCCACATACCGTTCAGGCATCAGCAGCGCTGCTGGGTGTATGCTCGGCTGTTATGCGATTTTGCTGTTATGCGATTTTACCACACTCGCAAAATCGCACACAGCCGACCATACACCCAGTATGATAGTGCAAAATCACGAATCACGATTTATGTATATGTTCGATTACATACAGCCTTGTGACAGTTTTCCTGCATGTCATAAGCATTTGAATATAAATATAAATGTTGAAATCAAATCTGATATTGTTTTACCTTTTATTTGGTGTGTGGAAGGTGTGCGGAAGAGGGGGTAGTCTTATACGGCGAGTATATAACAAACTTTGTATTTTGAGTGGAAATGTTAGGGGTCGTCTTATATGCCCAGTCGTTTTATACGCCGGTAAATACGGTAATATTTCATTGTCCATATAGACCGCAACTTTGTGACCCATTCATCCACTGATGGACAAACGTTATTTCCATATCTTGGCTATTGTAAATAATGCTTATGAACATTGGAGTGCAGATATCTTTTTGAGTTAGTGTTTTCATTTCCTTTGGATATGTTCCCAGACATGTAATTGCTGGATTATATAGCAGTTCTATTATTTTTTTTTCTCTTTAGAAACAGATGTAATGAAATCAATTTAAAGTTTAGTTAGTTGTTTTTTTTTCATTTATTTATATTTATTTATTTTAATTAGCTATTTTCCAATTACAGTTGACATACAATATTGCATTAGTTTCAGGTGTACAATATAGTGATTTGACATTTATATACCTTACGAAGTGATCACCCCAGTAAGTCTAGTACCCATCTGACAGCATACATAGTGATTACAATGTTGTTGACTATGTTCTCTATGCTTTACTTACATCTCTGTGACTACATTTATAACTGGAAATTTGGACTTCTTAATCCCCTTTACCTAATTTTTTTTATTGTTAGTTTCAGATGTACAGAACAATGCAATAGTTACCCTTTTCACCCTCACAAAGTAACACCCCCTCCCCCCATGTATTGCCCTCCCACCCCCGATATCATGCTTATCTATTACAATTTCATTGATTCCACTCCCACTCTCTACTCCATGTCTCGAGACCATATGCATGTACAATTATAGTTAACATACAAAACCATTCAACATCAGCTTCAGAAATACAGTGTGGTGGTCAGGCCTCTACACCGACTATGAAGTGGTCTCCCCAACAGGACATGAGTCCATCTGGCCCCCTAAGAAATATTTACAACATTATTAATTATATTCCTCACACTGTCTTTTTCTATCCCTGAGGCTATATTGCAATTACCAATTTGTATTGTCTCATCCCTTCCCTTTCTCCTTCATCCCCACCCCCTCCCAACTAACAACCCTCAGTTCTTCCTCTGTGTCTCTGAGACTATCTCCATCCATTTCTCCCATCCATTCAGTTCCTTAGAATCCATGTATAAGTGAGATCATATGATATTTGTCTTTCTCTGACTGACTTATTTCACTTAGCATAATGTTCTCTAATTCCATCCATATTGTTGCAAAGGGTACTATTTCCTTCTTCTTTATAGCTGAGTAATACTCCATCATGTAAATGTACCAAATTTCTTAATCCAGTCATCTACCGAATGCTTCAGTGAACATAAGGGTGCATATATCTTTTTGAATTAGTGTTCTCCTTTTCTTTGGATAAATACTCAGAAGTGAAATTGATAGGTCATATGATAGCTCTGTTTTTAGTTTTTGAGGAATCCCCATACTGTTTTCCATTGGTGCTGCACCAGTTTGCAATCCCACCAACAGTGTACAAGGGTTCCTTTTTTCCCACATCCTCGCCAACACGTGTTATTTCAGTTGTTCAGGTATACCATTTGTTGAAAATAATTAATCTATTTGTTTGAACAGCCTATGCACTTTTGTCAAAAAGTAGTTATCGCTATACACGTGATCCTGTTTGTGAACTCTCTTTTCTGTATTATTGATGTATTTCTCTATTGTTTCCGAATATCACATTGTCTGAACAGTTGTAAATTTATAATGTCTTGAAATAAGGTAGAGTTAGTCCTCCAATTTTTTTGTCATTGTTTTTGCTTTTCTAGGTCTTTTGCATTCCCACATGAATTTTGTTTTTGTTTGTTTGTTTTTGTTTTGTTTTGTTTTGTTTTAGCTGAGCCATCCTGCCATCTGTTGGCAGCTCAGTGGCAGCTCAGCTTGGGCCGGACATTGAACCGCTCTTGAGCGCGCTCTTAACCAATTGAGCCACTCAGCCGGCCCCATTTCCACATGAATTTTGGATCAGCTCGTCAATTTCTAAAATGTCAGCAGAATTTTTATTGGGATTAGGTATAGTTTATGAATTTGAGGAGAAATGACATCAAAGTATTTTGAATCTTTCAGACCATGAATAGAGCATATTTAACTATTTTAGTTTCTGTTAATTTCTCTTAGCAACATTTTGTAATTTTCAGATTTTTGTAAATATTTGTTTATAAGTATTACTACATATGTATTACTACATCTCATGTTTATTGATGCTATTATAAAACTTTCTAAATTTTCAATTGTTTATTACTACTATATAGAAATTCTCATAGCAATCTTGCATCCTGCAACCTTAGTAAATGCATTAGTTAGTTCAAGCAGTTTTCTTTTTCCTTTTTTTTTTGTAGATTTTATTTTTTTTATAATTGGGGGAGGGGATCAGTGTTGGGGAATGGGGGTGGGGCCATCCAAGTTGTTATTTAATCTTAGCTGTGGAGGGTGCCAGTTGCCATTTGGCTGCCCGTCAGCAGCTCATGGCCTCTAAACTCCAGGTGTTGTGTTACAATCTTAGTTGTGGGTAGGCATAGCCACTATCTTATCAGGGAGTCAAACAGGCAGCCTTGTTGTTAAGAGTGTGCGCTCTAGCCACTGAGCCATCTGGGTGGCAGCTCAGCTCAAGGTGCCGAGTTCAGTCTTAGTTGCGGGTGGGTGTAGCCCACCATCAGACCGGCAGTCTTCTTGTTAGGAGCACATGCTCTCACCAGCTGGGCCATCCTTCCATCTGTTGGCAGCTCAGGGGCAGCTCAGCTTGGGCACAGCGTCACTGGCCAATGTGGAAATCGGACCGGTGACTCTGTTGCTCAGAGCTCACGCTCTTACGCTAACTCTTAACCAACTGAGCCACTCGGCCGGCCTGCTATTGTTTTGTTTTTTGTTTGTTTGTTTTTATGTAGAGGATTATGTCACCTGCAAATAAATATAATTTGACTTTTTTCCCCCCAATCTGGATGCATATATTTTTGTTTATTTACATTACTATACTGACTAGAAGCTCTAGGATAATGTTGAATAGAAGTAGCAAGAGTGATTATCTTTTGTTTCTAGTTTTATTTCTATTCTGAGTTATTTTTATCAGGAATGGATGTTAGATCTTATCAAATAATTTACCTGCATTTATTGAGATCTTCATATGAATTTTTATTTTTTGAGTGTTAAAATGGTAAATTACACTGATAGACTTTTAAAATACCAAATAAATTTGTACTCCTGGTATAAACCTCACTTCATCATTATATATTATCCATTGTATTATTGTCAGATAACTTTTATTTTAGTTTTATTGATTTTTCTGTTTTATTTTGTTTTCTATTTTCTTGATTTCTCTTTTAGTCTTTTTATTAATTAATTAATTAATTAATTATTTTACTTTGGGATTAACTTTTTTTTTTTTTTTTTAGTTTCTTAAGGTAAAAGCTGTGGTCCATGATTTGAGACTTTAAAAAAATTTTTTTTATCCTTTTTGCGTATTAGTTCAGTGGTAAAGTTTTTCATAGCTTTCAAAATTTGTATGCTCTTTCTCCTGGGAAGCAAGCTACTTGGAAATAGTTTTGTCATTTCAGATCTTGCTTTTAAGTTTGTTAGGAGTAATTATTTCCTACTACTGAGTTAATTATTCCCTACCACTGAGGCAAGACCCTTCCAAGTACTCTACTCAGATTTCTGTGAATTAGAAAGTTTTTGAGTCTGGTTGGTATTAACAGGCACAGTCCTTGGACCCATGTGAAGTGAGGAACTCATCTCTCTAATCCTCTGTGTGGGACTTGCACGAAATGGAAGTTGCTGGAATGCATGTGCACATGCTTAGTGCTCAGCTGAATACTGCAGGAGAACCCTATGCAGAGATCCAGAGTTCTATTTCAGTTGCATTCTCTTCTTCACCACTGCTCTGTGAGACCTAACCACAATATCCTCTCATAACTCTTAGCTCGACCCTACTCCAGGAATTATCTATCTGTTGGGTTCCTCTGAGCTGTGCTGCTACCTGGAATCTCAGGTCATAAGATATGGCCATCATGAAATGCTTTTGGTTTATTTCCTGTTACTTAGGAATCACCAACTTTCATTACCTAATGTCCAATGTGGTGAAAAGACTTGTTTTGTATACTTTGTTCAGTTTTTTAGTTGCTTTATTGGGAAGGTAAATATAGTCTTTTACTTCATCTTTGTCTGAGTGGGAGTTTGGTTTTTATTTTTAAACTTTAATTGCCAATGCATATATATCTGGTTTAATCATTCATGCTGAAAGCTTCCTGAAGGAAGAACCTGGTCTTACGATTTTTTATATTCCATATATAGTTCTGAGAGCTTGATGAGTGTTTACTAGATGTGTGATTATATTTAAGAGATAAATAAATGTTAGTAATCGTAATGTCATATTTTCCTTTGTTGGTTTTGGTATATAATACTGAAAAATACAGTTCATACAAACTCAATGACTATTGAATAGAAATATACTAACAATATTAAGTAAGCACATTGTGAAAGATAAGTATAATGAAAAGATTTAAAATAAACTATAAAAAATGTTATGATACTACATTTAGTAAAATGCATCTCTATCTGATGATTTCTATTAATTAAATCCAACTAATCTTAATCTCTTATTTTTTAAAGCAAAAATAGATGTGGTTATAGAAATGCCTTTATCTCTACTTTAAAAATATGATATTTTAATTTGTTTCAGGTGATTGTTAAATCTGGGCCAGGGACTTTCCTCAGTCTGGCTGTTTATGACAACTATATCTTCTGGTCGGACTGGGGAAGAAGAGCTATCCTGCGTTCCAACAAGTACACAGGAGGAGATACAAAAGTTCTCCGTTCTGATATCCCACATCAACCAATGGGAATCATAGCCGTCGCCAATGACACCAATAGCTGTAAGTTACAAGGGAAGCACATTTATTTCTTAATTATATAATCTCTCAGAAAAATGTCTCTGTGTTTTGGTAATATTTAGTTGGATTTTGTTTTCTTAAAGTTCCTGGGGGTAGTATTCAGGATTTGATGATTCAGTATATTGAAATTTCTGAAAGATTTAGGACAACTTCTGTGCTTCTTTATTTATCACCAGAGGAACAATTCATTTTTAATCATTTGCTTCTGCAATTCTATTCCATTCTCTCTCACTCCTCATCCTGGAACAGTCAAATCAACTGGTTTCCATGAAAATAATAGTTTGTGATAAGCAAGCTTTGCATCTGGGCTTATTTTTTTAATCACTGGAATACCTACAAAATTCCATTTTATAGCATCAGTGTGGTTTCTAGTGGTACTAGTGCATTTGATGCTGTGGCAGGCTTCCTTGATAACTGTGTTAAATATAGTGATCTGTGTTACATATTTTTCTAATGTTTTTATCTTTTAGGATGTTTGAATTTTCAAAAGTCCTGAATTTTCCTTGTTTTTGACATATTTTTGAGAGATTGAGGCTGTGTAACAATTTACTGTTAATCTAATGTATAATAGGAATTCAATACAAAATATTACCAATGAAGCTTCTTCGTTGCAGGTGAACTTTCTCCATGCGCATTGTTGAATGGAGGTTGCCATGACCTGTGCCTTTTAACTCCCAATGGGAGAGTGAATTGTTCCTGCAGGGGAGATAGAATATTGCTAGATGACAACAGATGTGTGAGTAAGTAAAGAGATTCAAAATGTGATATGACATACTGCTCAAAACAGCACACATGGACATTGACATTGTTTTAATATATTCATGAAGTTTTATTCTCTTTCAGTATTAACGGCCCAGTTGGTTTATCTCTCTATTCTAGAAAGAACTCAAGTCATCATTCCACTTAGTTAGAGCACCATGTAATAGATAATGTTAACCAAAAACATTGACAAATGGTACATCACCCTGATTGTGGGCTGAAAGATGTTGGGTTAATTAGAGAAATAGCTGTACACAATGATCATCTCAAAGCTTGGAGTTATGACTCTGAAAATTAAGCCAAAAGCAAAATTAGTTTAAGGTGAAGTAAACCAGGAGACAGCCTGGTATCAATAGCCTTGTAGTAAAACCACTCACAGCCGGTCACAGTAAATGAGAGAGAATGGCTCATGCAGCCTATTTGTAATCATTTCTAAACTGTTAATTAAGAATGTAATATTTCAGCCTTGCATGACGTTTATACCTCCCAAAGGCATTAAAATATTTAATTAGTACCATTGCAGTATATACTTATTCACAGATTAGTTTCAAAAACTGTTTCCAAAATAAGCAAGGGTTTAGGTGTTCCAATATCACCATGAAAAATTAGCCAGCAACATGTAAAAAGATTAATTTCTCTTTAACATTATGACTTTTTTTTATAAAAAAGATGAGGAAAAACCATGTTATTGGAAATTGAACTAATTTTCAGAATTTGTCAATTTTTGACATTTTTTTCTTTCTTCATCTATATCCTCATCTCACATCTTTTCATCTTAGAAATTTAACAGAGCTTGATATGTCTATATTACAAAACTAAGTACCAGAAGCTGTAAGTATCTTTCATCTTCATCTCCAACCTTCTTATGCTCTTTACCAGGTGGATCTTCTCTTTTACCTGCTCTTTACTTTAATATAAGCACTTGGACTTCATTTTATTTACCTTGGAAATTACTGCACCTAATACAAGAACTTTGACATATTTCTCGCTTTACAAATTGGTACAACAACCCAAAAAGGCACCTTTTTGCGAAATCAGTAAAATATTTTTATGTTAAACTGTGCCAAAGCAAATGAAGGAATGATGCAATTGGTCAGTAAACTTTAAATGAAGATAGCCAATTTCAATAATTTGGGCCACAAATTCCCATATTTCTTCTGAACCTATCACTTCCCTGAATTGTTCAGGCAGTTGCTTAACCTCTCTCTTTCTGTCTGCCTTTGTGGTTTCAGCTGTAATGGTCTGGATCTGATGCCATCTGTAATCCTGGAGTGTTAGCCATACATTAGAATCACTCATGTTTCTTTTACAGGTCACTACAGGCCAGTAGTAAAGTGATGCCTTTGATCAAAACAGTAAGGCTTATTTGTATACAGTGGATGCCTGTCCTTGCTGCAAAATAGATTACATACATCTGTCCCGACTAAGCCACCTGCTTCTCTCTGTTGATGAGAGGGAATGAATCAGACAGAAAACCATCATTTTAGACATTGTTGTATTCACATGAAACTGTAGAGTGAGATTGGATTCCTCAGAGCTGACAAACCTTTATAAAAGCAGCCTGTATCCATTGTACATTCATACTGAAATCTTGTGGTCCAGCAGACAGATTGGAAAATAATTATTGGCTTCTTCTTGTCACATTCATCTTTGGGAAAGGCGGATATTTCTGACATATTATGTCCATATCTGAATTAGTTCATTCAGATCAGTTCATGGATGTTAATGTCAGTGTTAAAGGGTGGAAAGGTCATTTCCCAACATCTAAGGGTAAAGGAGGAAAAATCATTTCTTGTCACAACACTTGACAAAAAGATTAGGCAATTCCATTTCATACAACATTGCTAACTTATCAACACACATGATGGAAATAAGAGTAGCAACTATAGTTAGATAAATTACCTTGTAAAAGAATCAGAGGGCAGCTGAACCACATTTTTGTTTCTAGAAAGAAGCAGGAAATAATATCGCTTCATCAGATGAACATACGTAAACAAGACTTGTGCCCATACAGTGTTTGCATAATAAAAACTTACTTGTTATGAATAATTTTTGGTTTTTCCCTTCAAAGGCACAAGGATTATAAAAGTAAAATGTGACATTTTCTATGATAATGATCAGTTTTCATTGGAAATGAGATATTAAATACAATGCATTTAATATAAACTAAGCTGAGAAGGTTAATAGAATTTCAGTAAATGACTGAATTTTGTTCAGTTCAGGAGCCAAGGTGATATTGTGTGGTAATGCCAGCACGCTTCATAACATCTGTTCCTTTAAAGTTAACAATATTTTTAGATTTTAAATTATTGGTTACTTTCTCTAAAATGCATTCTACTTTAGCAACTGACCAGTGAAGTTTAGACTATACCAGGAAGGAAAAAAAAAAAAAACTATCTTTAGAGAGTTTTGCTATCATTGAAAGAGTTAAATAAAAATTCATAGATAGGTAGATAGATAGATAGATAGATAGATAGATANATAAAAATTCATAGATAGGTAGATAGATAGATAGATAGATAGATAGATATTCTGTTAAAATGAGTTACATAAAGCCTAAGAATAAAAAAGAAATAAAACACTGGAAACTTCAAGTAGTAGTAGTAGTGGCAGTTTAATTGACTATTCCTGAAATAATGCTTAAAAATAAATTGATAGTAAATTGTAAAACTTAGCTATGTTTCCTGCATTAGTTGACATAAATGAATTCTAACTACCTCCAACATAAATAATAGACTAGATTTTACTGTATAATTAACAACCAGCAAAATACCAGCAAGAAAACAGCACGTAATACAACCAAAATATTGCGTTCCAAAAATATACTAGTAAATCTATTTTTTAAGAATAAAAATAAGGCAATTTTTCCTGAGAAAATCTTTCTAAAAACAGGGGTCATATACTGGCCTTCCAAGGATGAAACCTACCTGTAGAAAGGTGTTTTTATGGTACTTTGTGGCTATTGGCCTGTGCTCACAAATTGGGCCAAGCACATAAAAAGTCAGACTTTTAATTTCTTATGAAGATCCTGAGACTTAGATGTGGGACAATATGGCGGTGTTCAAGGGGGGTCCATAGGCATTGGGTGCACCTGCTTTGTAGGTTGTCATTGGCCTCACAGATCATCCTGCAAACCCATCCTGCATTTCAGGGGGCAGCTGCTGACCTCGTGTGGGAATAAGAGAGGGTCTGCTCCCTGCTCACCACCATGGACAGGACAGGATGTTGATGAAGATAAATTTAGCAATTTGAGTACTTCTGATTGATAGATTTGCTACAGTGATTGCTTCCGAAGGTAGTTGGGGAGGAAGAACAGTTGGAGGTGAGATTTAAGTGACATAAATCAAGTCAAGCATTCAAAAATGAGAACTCTATGTACTGATACATTTCAGAGTACTGAAGAATATGTAATAGAGTCCAATAAGAAAATATAAAAACACTCTCAGTATGTACAAAGGTAATTTAACTGGGCCTTTTATCAAATTTAGTTTTAAGATAGGCTGCTAGCCAAGACACATACATGTTGTCTCCCAAATTTAAGCCCCTCTTTCTCTCCACACATGTGCATCACCAAATGATTAGCCAAATACGCAGATAAGCATAAAAGAAAAATGAAGTTGTGCAATTCCCAAAGGGAGGGAAAGAAAAACAAAGGGAGGGGAAAAAACAACTCAGAAAGTGTCCCTTTGAATTTTTTTTTAAAGAAATGCCATAAACTATTACCCTTTATTTAATTTTATATTTAGATAAATTGTAGTTTATTTTAATAATTAAGATTAAGGGAAACAATTGTTATGGCATCACAAATGTTTATTATTTCATAAAAACATTGCCTTTTTCCTTTCAGCTAAAAATTCCTCCTGCAACATTTATTCAGAGTTTGAGTGTGGAAACGGAGAGTGTATTGACTACCAGCTCAGCTGTGATGGCATTCCTCATTGTAAGGATAAATCTGATGAAAAACTGCTCTACTGTGGTAAGTGTCCAATACGTGATTTGTCATTTCAGAGGGAAGTTTACAATTTTTTAAAAATATTTTTTGGTTTGACTATCTCCATTTGGTTTATACATATGGTCTCTCATTAATAGGTAGATCTAAGACCACTAACTTGGCTTTGCTTTTGTTCACCTTGTTTCGTATCCATTACCCATGATATTCATTGAAGAATTTTCTCATAGTTTTCCAACCACGAGGGGCAAATTTAACTATAGCAGGATCCTGCCTTTTGAGTTGCCTAGTTATTTATCTTTAGCAATAGGTTTTAGGCTTACATTCCTAAAAATGTAAGTCAGAAATATCAGTTATTGGTGAATATTGCAAGCATATGGATCAAAGGTCCATCATCAGCCAATAGCATGTTGTTGAATTGATATCAAAGCATTGTCCAGTCAATTTTTGCCTCCAGGATTGCCCCAGGGATAGGTCCTTAGGTTCAAAGGCTGATTGTTTTAGCCATGGTCACCATCAATCATGGAATTCCACCTGCTGTTCCTTGGTAGGTGACACCAAGTGATAGTCAACCTTCCCCTCTCCCTTGGGAGTAGAGGTTGGCTTTTTTACCCTAGTAAACAAGTGATATTAGCATTCATTGCAACAATATTTCTCCTGGAAATTTGTGTCTATGAAGTCATGAATAGTTATTGTAGTATTGATCCAAATAATTTCTAAATTGACCTGATTTATTTTTGTGCTATTTTAGTCTCACACTCTTTCACACTGCAGAGTAACACACTCTGGTTTAAAATGATAGTCAAACATAATTTGTCAATGATTGGTCTATAGCTAAAATCTCATGGAATTTACCTCAAATGACACATTTTCTTGAACGAACAGCTATATCCTGTACACTATAAAAATACTAAAGAGTATACAATGTAATAATAATCAGCTTACTAATCCACATTTATTATGAATTAGCTTGAGTATGTATTTTACGTTATTTTTATCTTCTTAGAAGCCAGATCATATTTGTCTGAGCAAAAATTGGCAAACTTTTTCTTTAAAGAATCAGCTAGTAAGTATTTTAGGTTTTGTGGGCCATACATGCTCTCTGTCACCTATCCTCTATATATTTTAAATTTTTTGCAGTCCTTTACAAATGTAAAAAACATTCTTAGCGGAAGTCACATGGAAACTGACTCGTGGGCTTCATTTGGCCTATGGGCTACAGTTTGTCAACCCCAGGTGTAGATTCCAAGCTTCAGAATCATGTTGAGGTTAAATCTTTGTTTCCAAACCTACTAGTGTGTGAGTAGCGTGAGCAAGGGTAATTCTCTATATTTTAGTTTCCTACTGCAAAACCAGCCTAGCTTGAATGGTGCTTAGAGCATTAAATAAACAAGTGTATGTTTACATATGCTCAATATAGAGCTTGGCATAAAATTAGTGTTCAATAAATGGCAGCTATTATTATTTAAGTAGTGCCTTCTGCCCCAAATCAGAAAATGTCAGGAGAGTCTCATTAAGGTAAATAAAAATCAGAAGGCAATTATTTTTCTTTCTAGGAAGTTCTGGTAAACATTGCTAGATAACTTTTAAGAGGAATTTATGGTTGTTTAAGGGATCTGGGTTCATTGATTCAGGAATACACATTTTGCTACTCTTTGTTTCTTGTTATAAAATCTTCGCAGGATGCCAAGGAGATAGGAGATAAGTGTTGGAATGTCTTTATTACTTTAGAGTTATTTATTTCTCCGGAATTGAAGATATGATATTTGTTTATGCCTGTGCTGACTGAAATGCCAGAAACTGTAATGAGGGTATAATTTGAAGGTATCTTCAAGTCTGAATCACTGAAGTCAAAACACTTAGTCCAAAAGGCTCTTTAGTGAATGAACTACTTGAAAATGCATGAATATTCTAACCCAGAACTTTGAACTGAGCAGCACTTGTTTTATAAATCCATAATCCAGTCATTATGAATGAAATCTCTCCTGTGATTTTCTTTTTGTAAAAGAGAATCTTTTCTTTTCAACAAGACCTTCAATAAGACCTTCAATTATGTGTTTCCACTTTTATTTATAAGAAAACAGAAGTTGTCGAAGAGGGTTCAAGCCCTGCTCCAATCATCGCTGCATTCCTCATGGCAAGTTATGTGATGGTGAAAACGACTGTGGAGACAATTCTGATGAATTAGACTGTAAAGGTAAAAATATATGTTGCATTCAGACTGCAAATATTATGCTATTGTTTCCGGAACTTTTCCAAAGTGTGTTCCTGAGAGTACGATAGTTTCACCCTTTTGGTATATAACACCTACATCTATGGACCACACTTTGGTAAATGCTGTTGGAGGGGAGTTATTAGAGTTAATTGAAAATGATGACTATTTCTCTGTTTCTGGTTTCTATTCCTTTGCTCACTTTAAAACCCTTGCCATTGCTCACCTCTTTAGTTCTACCTCCCTATTTATTGGCCATTTCTACCAGAATATGTAAGACTAATGTGCTGCTATAAAAATGTTCCCCCTTTTTCCTCAATTCTCTTTTTTACACATGATCTCATAGTTTCTTAATGACTGGAAAGAAAACCTTGGTGTTATCCACGATTCCTCCTTTCACCATATTTTATCACCTGTATGTCTAATCATCAAAAAGTCTTTAAATTCTTTGAAATATTGTCCATTTTAGTCTACTTTGATCCTGGATGAACAGAGTACCTATCTAAATACTTTCCTTGCCTCTACTCTTTCTAGTTAATCACAATGCTGTTAGTCATGCTAACATTATTTGACATTTTCCCATGGTGTTTGCTGGGACAGATCTGAAAGGCAGACTACCTGGGATAGAACCCCAGTCCCAACACTATGTGACTTTGGACAAGATACTTAACCAATCTGTGCCTCAGTTTCCCAAGCTGTAAGAAAAAAAACAAATTTCTATATTAATATTAAATAAACTTAGAACAGAACTAAGCATATAGTAAATGCTATGTAAGCATCTGCCCTTTAAAAAAAAAAAATCACCGCCCTACTGAATAAACACAAATGGAGTTTCAATGTTTGCAAAATAAATGACACGTTTTTGAGTTTGACTGTTAAGGTTTTCTAAAATCTGGACTCAACAGATTTTTCCAAACCAATTTCCCTTTTAAAATCTTTCCATTCAAAAAGACTGATGGTAAAGAAAAAATGTGAAGTACAGTTGTAATGAGAAGGCTATGCAAAGTTGAGAAAGAGGCCAGAATATATATAAATTATTTTGTAGTTAGAAAAGTGTTGGAAAATTACTTTGCCATCTTGTACTGTATAACCTTGGCCAAACATTTGAGCAGTTTACCATATAAGGTTGATGCTGTAGTTTAGGAAGAAACATATACATTTGTAAATTAAGTCAACTACTATTTCATATTACCTATAAAAGATTAAAAATGATAAAGTGCTATAAATACTGGGAGTAAGTGGAGGAAAATGGATAAGCATTTGGAAGAAAGGAAGAAAGGAAACTAGAAAGGGATTTAAAAAATGGATATGATTTATCAACTACTTGCAAGCAGAAGAAGAAAATGTAATAAAGACATTAAGCTAGAATAAGGGTAAAAATATCAAACTAAAATTTGAAGGCAGTGAACAATAAATGCAGAATGTAGATTTTAAAACAAAATTCATAAAAGGAACCATGGGAATTTAATAAGTTACTGTGAGCTTTCTTGGAAAATGATTTTTTTTTCCCAAAAGTGGTAAATAAATTAGTGTTTGGGTTTATGAAATATAGGCCCTAGTACATTGTAGGTGTTTATTAAATTCTTATGTGACTGTTTGCAGCAATAAGTCTTCCAAAAAATATAGATAGTTTTTTTTTTCTGCCTAATGACATCAATACTAACATGAATAACAATAAAAATAGCTCAAAATATGTCTATTATTGATATTTTTTAGTGTAAATTTTTTATTTCTATGTTACAACTATTTCAGCCATATACGTGGGCACAGAGCTACTGCAGTTGCTGTCAAAACCTTTTTTTGTGATAATAGTATAAAAATCATAACAATTGGCTGTCTTAAACAACAACAACAACAAAAATTTATGCCTTGAAGTTCTTTCTGTGTAATGTAAGATGTTTCAAACTAAAAATGCCATGGAAACTCAAACACACTTTATTACTTACTAGAAATTCTTAGATTTAAGTAAATGGACTAGCTGCTTTAGGATAAATAAATGGGTAGCTTTTTTAGATGAAAGATTACTTATCTCATGTACACCTTTCAGATTTGATTTTTCTCTCATGTTAAGTTTGTTCTCATGCTCTCCTTGTTGGGCACATTTCAGGCTGTAGAGGAAAGACTTCCATGGGTCCATTTCCCAAAAGCCAGATTATCTAATAAAGAAAGCAGTGATTCAGGTGTGTGTCTATCAAACACACGGACACTTATGGCACCTAAAAGATGATGATGAAGGAAAAAGAGCAGTGAGGGCTCAGGGAGACAGGAGAGACGTCTCTCCCTAAACCTTTTCCTCTAGTTGCTCCTCTGCTTCTATAGCCAGTGCATCATGTGAATGCAGTGCTTTGCTGTATATATATATATGCATACATGTACACAAACCGTCTATTATTTTTTAATGTAAACAAATGAAAATAAAACAATTTAAATTAGTACAAGATAGAAATCAATATATACAGGGAAATGTTGATAGGCTGTGGAGAGGCTACACTGGAATCATCTGTAAATCATTTAGAGTACTGTTACATTCTTGTTTGTTTAGTTTAGTTGTTAATAGTATTTAGTATTACTATTTTGTTTTTTATTTTTATTCCACAATGCAGAGAATTCATTTACAGAGTGGAAACGAATGTTACAAGGACTTATTTTTGGTTTCTTCTCCTTTGGAGGAAAAACAAAATCCCAGATCCTTGTAAATTTTAATACTGTCCCTTTATAGCTATTCCTTTCATGACTGAGAGCTTTAGACTTTAGGCTATGGCGGGATAGGTTTGAGAGGTTTTCAGAAAGTCTGTTAGTCTGTATTCCTATTAGGATTGTGTGAGCGGTTGAATGAATAGATTCAGGGAGAGTACATGATTCCCCTCCTTTCTTCCATGTGATATGAATGTAAATACTCCCTTTGTGAAGTATATGAACTTATTTGGCCACCTGAAAAGTTTTAGGGAAACTGGAGAGATAAGTAGTCATGAGGCTACCTAAAGGAGAGGAAGGTGTTGTTTGTTTTGTCCCAAGTGCATAGCAAAACTTTGAAGATTCCAAAAACAAGAAGCTAAAGAAAAAAGATATAAAGAAGCTAAAAAAAAAAAAAAGAGAGAGAGAGAAGAAAGCATCAGTCCTTCTGGGTTTGCATACCCTTAAAGTCCAGGCAGTAAATTAAATAAAATATGTGGTTTGAAAATAAACAGAAGGGATATGACAGCAAATTTAATGCCTTTCCCCCTCTCCTCTCTTGTCAGTTTACCTTTGCCACAGGCTGGGTAAGGGTGTTGTTGGAAGAGAAAGCATTGATTTAGGTTATTTATAAGAAATGTCCTAAGAACTGCAGAAAGACCAATCGATTTTAAGTATTTTATATTTCATTAAATATTTTAACTGACATGGAAAAAAAGTGGGTGAAATAGAAATATTAAAAAAGTATATGGAGGAAAGAGACTTACTTTGTCTCTTGCTACTACTTTGATCCACAATCTCAGTCAGATCTCCCTTTGTAATATTTCATTGCAATTCTGGTGTGGCTGTCATGTTTTCACTCACATTTTGTAGGCTTACTTTTTCTTTTGGACAATCTGGCAGGAAAAGTCTATTCCTCACTTGGCTAATCTTTATTTAGATGATCTCTCTCTCTCTCTCTCTCTCTCTCTCTCTCTCTCTCTCTCTCTCTCCCGATGTTTAGCCCAAGGAAAAAATGTCAGAAAGCTTTCATATTCATTTGACAAATTAGAGATTCCAGCATCTTTCTTCCTCAAAAATCATCCTAAGGATGAAAAAACTTCAATACTTGACTAACCAAAACAATGTGAGGAAGGAATATAGTTGAGGGAACAGAGAGGAAGGGGTTTTGGAAGAAGAGGCATTTGCTTACTTATTTAATAAAGCTCTCATAATTCTCATGGATTTTTCCCATCACAGGACTTTTTTTCTTGCCTTCAAATGCTAGAGATCTTAATCCCCATGACTAATTTGCCCCTGCTACTAATAAAGTCTTGCAACATTGAATATATCTAATTCTGTTGCCAATTACCACCCTATTTAATCCTCTGGTGGTTTCCAAACTATACGAAGTTGTAGACTATGTGGAAAAAGGATTAGAAGGAAAGTGACTATCTGTTTCTATTCGCACATCTTATACACTCCTAGGCCTCCACCAAGAATCATAGCCCTATTTTTCATTGGGAAAATGGGAAAAAAAAATACCTCCTGCAAATCTACCCATCTACCCAGTTTTCCTGACTCCCTATCTTATCTATTTTACTTTGCCTATCTTTTAAAAAACTATCCCCTAATCAATCTTCTCACCTTCAAAATTACAGCTTCTTTTCATCTACTCAGAGTTTCTCTCATTTCTTTCTTCTTCCCAGAATTCCATCTAAAACTTGGGTTTTAGTATTCCACATTTCCCACTTCTTAAAAGTCATTCTTTACTCTGACCTCTACCTGAGAGCCCCCAATACTAGTTCTGAAACTCTATTACTGTGAAATCCCTGAACCTCCAGTCCTCATAACTGTCCGAAATGCCATCTCTATGTTCATGAGGTCATAACTTATTTCTTCCCTCTATCTGCTACCAAACCCACTCGGATTGATTCTCTGCCACATACACAGGAGATTGTCTGTGGAAACTTGGAGGAAGTTGGAAATGGTGAAATGGGTTGTGATTTGTCCCTATTGGGATCTTTCTGGCATCCTAAACTCTATAAGAAAGAACTTCAAGTGTATTAGGAGACACATCTTTGTAAACTTGTCTAGGCATATCACCACTATCTAGAATATTGTTTCACAGAAAAATGAATCCTGTCTCTACATAAAGGAATTATAAGGAATCTTTTGGAATAGACCTCTTAATGGGAGACTGCTAATACATATCAAAGTCAGAAACAAAATGTAAATGCTTGTCAAGATTATTTTCTATGTTATATATTCCATTTACTGTTTTCATTGAAAAATATTAAATGTGAAATATAATAGAAAGGAATATGGAGGAG